CATCGATTTGGGTTTCATCTTCGGTTGTTGCAACGCCGCGCCACGAGCATTGCCAACAGTTAATCAAAGATAAATGAGCTTTTAAGCGTTGACACAAAACCCCGTCTTGGGTTACGGTCCCCACTTCCACGGGGGGCTCTCTCTCAACCTGTTTTGTGTTTTTTTTTTTCTGTTGCTGCTTGCAACCTTAGGGCGTTGCTTGTCTTACATAAATCTGCGGAACTACTCGTGTTTGGGCGGACAGACATCAAAGCGATGCTTTCTGCCACAAAACAGCTATGCAAAATATGCATAATTAATTAATTAGTCGAAGAGATTGCGATTTGCATTTCTTGCGGCTGCTTATGAACCCACTCCGAGCATTCGCCCCATCAGCTCCATCATCTGGGATCTCCATCAACTCAAACTCCATCTCCAACTCCAGTAATCTTCAGAGCTCCGTCAGCAACAGTTGGAAGTAGGAAACTAAACAAAAGTGCCAGTCAATCTTGCTTGTTGGATATTCCCGTGGTTACCTAGGACTGACTACTATGGTACACGGTTTGCTTTTGCCGTCTAATTTTCGCACATTGCCTCCGTTTAGTCGGTAACAAATGCTCCTGAATTAGGTATAAATGGTTCTCAGGAGACGCACACATGAACAGACCACAAATGAAGAGCATTGCATAAGCAATATTTAACAATAAATACAAACACAAACACACATCAGACTTCAGACATCAGACATCAGCACACTTCCTCTGTCTACGGTTTCTGGTCCAGTTAATTGTTCTGATTGCCGTACATAAATCTCATGCGTGAGTGTGTGTGTGTGGGCGTTAAGGATGTGCTCTAATTGATAAAGACCAAGCAGCTATTTTGCTGCCAATTGAATAGATCATAAACCAGTTTAGATACACTCGGAAAACGATACTGAAAGCATTTAAAGATGAATTTGTATTCTCACTTTTAATTGGTTCTGTTTTAATTGGGCTATCATCAGGCAGCCACCTATCCCATTGTAATTCGAAACTGAGGAGATTTCTCTTTAAGTTTTTCACTCGAAATAACCGAGTTCGATGAGTACTTTCGCTCAGTGGGCATATGGCCCGATTTATTTGCCTAAATAACCGAAACATTCCATCAGACAGAGGAGCAAAAGGACAGGGCCAAAAGGCAGAACAGGAACAACAGCAGCGCAACAGGCTAGGATGGCAGGATGGGCCGGACAATACCCATTTATGCACATAATGAGGAGTCATCCATCAGGGATGACTACGAACAAGTACAGCTGCCGACGGCTGCTCATCAGGCAGATGAGAGTAGATCCTGAAGGCGGGGTGGCGTTTCTTGGCCGAGGGTTGGCAATGGCCACTGGGCAGCATTTACATTTACATTTATAAATATGCATAGTTTGTTAGAGGAAAAATTTAATCCTGCTTTCGCCTTGAGGGGCATTTCAGCAAAGCGTTCACCTAATTTCATCATTTTGGCCATTGGCCATAAAGAGAATTCATTTAATTTGTGTCCAAGGAATGGCAAGTTCCTGGAGATTTGAAATGCGCTTAGAAGTTGCCAAAGTGTCTGTGGGCGACAGCAAAATCAAACAGCCTATTGACAGTGACACCCGCAAAAAGCTGCGTATCCCAAAAGCAAATATACTGTCCTGGGGCGGGGTCCGAGCACAGGTTTCAGTTTTGGCCAGGTTGCCAGGACTCCTGTTGTCCTTGGCCATGGGTATCGGCATTGCTGTGGCAGGGCCCCTCCATCACTTGTTTACTGTTTATCTTTGGCCAGAAGACAAACAGAACTAGGCCCGAACAATGACAATAACAATTCGCCATGTCGAAAGTTTCGAGAGTGATAAGATTTATTTTTAGCCCCAAATTGGAGTGATTGGCTGTACAAATTTTGCAGGGCTGGGCTTTCGCCTGTGGTTGTGTTAATTAAAATTCTTTAAAGGCACGCGTACCGCCGGGTGCCGTATCCTTGGTAATAAATCATGACATCAGCAGCAGAAATTGACCCACCATCCAGGGGACTACAGTCACCGACAGATAATCATGGCAATTATACGAAAATGCGGCGGACAAAAAAAAAAAACAAATCACGACAGCATTCAAAGGAGCAGATCGGCCGGAATGGGGGTGGTTTGGATTGGAGTGGAGTGGAGTGGAGTGTAGTGCCCAAAAGGTCAGCAGACCTTTATTACACACATTATACTGTCAGCCAAATGGGTAGAATTCATCAATGGATGGCGAGTGAGAGGGGGGTGGAGCTGGTCAATTAAAGAGCAATTACTAAATATTAGCTAATGGCCGGCAACTGACATTTGTGTCTGGCCCAGAGCGAATTGGTCTACAATTTTCGCATGGCGCAAGCCGTGGAGAAACGACAGAAAGAAAACAAAATACCCAGAGCATTAATATTAATGAACTGCTCACACACGCGACCCCGGGCAGTTCATTAAAGTGTCAAACACTTTGTCCGGCAGACATGTTTGCGCCAAGTTCCAAGACCGCAGAGAAATTGGTCAAAAGCAGCAGAAGCAGCAGCAGCCGCAGCAGCCAAAAACCTGTTGCCTCTTTGGGGAAGCTCATCTCATATTGCTGCTTCTGCTGCTGACGCTGTTAGTGAAGACGACGAGACGCCCAACTGACCCTAAAACAGGGCTTTTGCTGGCTGTCACTATTAATGTGTCATAAATCAAAAACTTGTTACCCTGTATCGTAAACCCAACAAACATTTGCATAATAGTAGCGCCTACATGTAACCCGACATTTTTTACGCGAATCTGTGGGGCGTGCCCTTGGCTCTGTTTCTGGTGTAACCGTCGATGAGCACATGCAGTTGCAGCGGCTAATTATGATTGATGATGGCCTTATGACCAGGACCGACTGACTGCACTTGCAGAACCTGCAGAACATTGACGAGTGTAAGGCCAAATGTTTCACCAGAAATTCGACAATTTAAGTGGAACGTTCTTCAACAAATGAGAGTTGTGTTAAATGATAAGCAAAATTTGACAGGGCAAGTAAATGAGCTGGAAAATCGTTGGGCCATCGGCATTTTAAAGCAGGCGGACGACACCCCACAACATTATTACGGCTCCTCCATGCTTCCGTTTCCTTTTTTCCCGGCCAGTGGCCGCACCGCGACGTGCCCTGTCTTGGACGCTAAAAACAATTAGTATGACAATTTATCATATGCCCGCAGCCAGATGATTTATGAAGGCCTATAGAGCCGATGGCTAAAAACAACATTGCGTATACGTATCGTTGGCGCCTGTCGGTGTGTTGCTCAGCGTGTGTGTGTGTGTGTGTGGGTAAAGGCAAACGTTTATTTGCTTTCGGAGGGTGCGTCATATGTTTGCTCGTTTCCTTCCTTCCTGTTGGCGGCCTGTACGCCTGCTTGTTGCCATTGTGCTATGCAATTTCTAGTTAATAAATATTTCCGGCTACAGCGAAAAAAGGAAAAGGACAAGAACCTGGCGGGACACGCCCGCAAATGACTACCAGGATATAGCGCAATTAGTTGTGTCAACAGCTGAAACTGTTCTGTTGTTCTTTTTGCATAAGGTTCTAAATTTAGACAGACTTTTGTATATAGAACATGGAAAATACATAGAATCCAGCGCAGAATCATTTGTTGGCCAGGCCATAAACGAAAATCAATAGCTATCATGATCAATAGCCAGATACGCATTCATATTACGTCATGTCCTTAATTATGGTATCCATAAACCGGACACTCGGTCGAGAGCCGAACAGTAGCCACAGAACAGTGGCACGGATAGTAATAGTAATCCCCCGCACACACACATCCTGCTGCCTTTATCACATGCTTGTTCTGGCATATTAATTGGCGTTCATTAATTATATTTTGAAAGCGTGTCCGGGACGTGGCTAAAATAGAGCTGCATAATTAATTGATGTTGATAATATTAAGCAAATGTATATAAAGGTTGTCCATTGGCTGGGCTCGAAAGCTCTAGAGCTTCTTTTTCTCTATATTGGAAGCATTACTGAGGTGCAGGAAATCGCTACAAGGTTCCCAAGTTCTTCCCATATTAAGGGTTTAAGTATGCTCTTGTGCTTGCTCTCAATACCAAGACTTGATTAAGGGTTCACTTTAGCTTTTTGCTTTTTAAAAGCACCGCAAAAGCTGAACAGAAACTTTTTTGTAGATTTGGCTTGGAGAGAAAATAGCTGGGTAAGGGTGAAAAGCTTTGAAGCTTACACAATTGCTGGAAGAGATGTCTAAAGTCTGCTTTTATATATGTATGTACATATCTACGAGTTCTAAAGTTGTTTTTAGACCCAAATCAAACACACTTTAAGCCGTTTTGTTTTAACTTTTATTTACAAACTTAAATGATCTTCCTGTGCAATTACACGGAAATGGTAAAACCGAACCAAGGAGGGAAATCATATTGAACGCTATGGAAAAACAGAAAATATGTAACCAAATATCGGTGTTTTCTGTGTGTGTGTGTTTGGGTGTTTGTGTATTTGTGGGTGTTAAACATCTATCATCTACAACACATTTTTATCTATGACCGATGGTTTTGGGTGTATTCGGATCTGTGAGTGAGTACCGTTTGGGTTTTTGTATCTACAACATCAAAGATCAACATAACAGCCACATATGTTACTGCTTGCATTTATTCTTGTGGTATTTTGTATATATGTATATATATATATATATATATGGTTCATACATTTATGCATGTATAGCTATATATTTGGTGTATGTATATAATGTTTCTGTCCACATCTGCTCATATGGTTTATCGATTAATAATTACACATGTACGTACTCATATACATATGTATGTATATATGCTTTTGTATATATGTATATATATATATATATCTTTGTATCCATGCCACGGCACATTCTCCATAAACTTAACAATGCGCTGTCGTTTAGTTATTAGACTAGGTAAAACAATCTTTTTATCTTTATCTTTATCTGTATCTGTTACATGCTAAACACTCTGTTCTGAACTTGTACTTTAATACCTCTGCTTAACCATCGCTCCGTTCAACGTTACAATCGTTTTGTGATCTCTTCATCATATATCGTTTATCGTTTATCGTGTATCGTGTCTCGTGTTGTTACTTTTTTTACTCGTAATATTATATCATTATGTATGCTTGTTTTGGTTTTGGTTTTTAGTTTTGGTTTTGGTTTTGGCCCCCGAAAGAAACTGAAAGGAAAACTATGTATGTAAATGCATCTCACACGTGCGAGCTCCGAAAGGAAATCAGAATCATCCGGCATGGAAGTTGCAACCGAATCGGCGAATCGAAGCGGCAACAAACTTGTTCTGCTGGCCTGATTACTGGGATTAACATTTTATGTTTTCGCTAAGATTTAGATAGATCTTTAGGTAAATATGTATATGCGTGTGGGTATATATATGTATGTATGTATATATGTATATACGTTATGGAAAAATAAAATACGTAGCTTTAAAATATGTGTAAACACTCGTATTTCATACTAGATAAATATAGGAAGGAGTCTAACGGCATAGGACACAGCTAGAGTTAGTTAAGTTTATGTATGTATGTATACACATAGATATTACACATTTACATAGGGTTTTCGTTTCGTTTTATTATGCTATATACCCCTTCTACTACTTCCTCGATCGCTCAGCTATGTATATATATATTCTGCTATATTATATACTGCTATACCTGTTTCTCATTGTGGCTTGTCTCTCTGATATTCAAGAAGGAGTTGCTCTCTGATCTTCTGCTTGAGCCTAGTATATTTAATAGATTTTCTAATGTGCGCTTTGCAAGTTCCAGAAATATTGAATGGACAGTGAAATATATATAGAAGTATCAATTAACTAATGTAAACAGATCGAAAACATTAAAGACTTTCAATTGAAACATGAACTTTCAGTTCAGCAAAGCAAACTCGCAAACGGCCAGAATTTGAAGACAAATTAAATTAGAGATACGCAAAGAAATCAATAGTTTAATCTCAATCAATCCTATACCAAAATAAAACACAGCCAGCACTTTTATTGAACCTCTCTCCCTCCCTCTCTCCGCCTCTCTACACTCGTTGATAAAACGCCAAGCTGCCTAATGGCCGTCGTCGGTACGGACCTGCCGGCTGGATAACCAGAACCGCCCTACTTCATCTTCTTGTCCTCGTGGGCCTTCTTCACGATGGCCAGCTTGGAGTGCGGCGAGGATGGGTGCAGAGTGCGGTAGGGCGCCTCCTTGGTGCCATGCAGAACGAGAGACCATTCCAGCAGATTACCATGACGGGTTTGGGGGGAATTGAAACGTGCCTGTGGAAATGGAATGGAATTGATTAGATAATGTAATCTATCTATCTATCTATCCCAAATGGTTTGTATATCACCTCCAGTTTCCAGGTTCCCTGCGGATACTCGCCCCAGGAGTGAGTGGTCATGAAGGGCCATTTGGTGAAGCCATCGCGATGGTCATCATCGTTGGCGCGGCGCGACAGGATCATGGATCTGTGAATGAAATAAGGTGAACCTCTTGTGAACAGTGATTCAGGTTAGATTACTCACTTGGTGCCCATGGGGGATGTGAGGAAGAGCTCCAGGTCGCCGCGTCGCGAAGTATTTGCCGAGATCACCGCCTGAACGTGCTCCAAGTAGTTCACCTCTGTGTCAGTGCCCTTGCAGGCATCGGTCTTAATTTCCCAGAACAGTGAGCGACCCATGATAATTGCCCTAGGAGGGAGAGAGAAAGAGATAGATGGGTAAAGCTGTCCTAATCCAAGCAAAGATAGAAACACTCACTGCGATTGGGTTATCGCGCCCGCCTCGCAATGGTATCGCGGTGGCACTGCATGCCACTGCTTGGAGAGCGTCACCATGGCACCAGCATCGAGCACGCCGAACCCGAAGAGGTGGTTGAACTCCAGACCCACGCCGTTCATTGTCCAGTGGAAGCGGTTCTTGGCATCGAACAGAGAGTTGCGCTTCGATGTCAGCACCGTCAGATGCTGGATGTCGCGCCAAGTGAGTTGTGGACTGTGGACGTGGGTTAGCGAAACGGAGTCGGGTTGGATTAGCATAAATTCATAATGCTGCAGAGGGAGAGAATGAAAGAGGGAGGGGCAGGACTACTCACTTTGCCTCCAAGGCCAACGCAAAGACGCCCGCTGCTTCGGGCGCCGCCGCACTGGTGCCCGAGTGAGTGGTCGTGCACTTGCCGTACAGGTCAGTGGTGGCAACGCCCGTGTTGGGGTCCTTGGCACCGTTGCTGAACGTGGATGCCAGCGTGGAGCTGCAGCTCTCGTCGTAGTGAGCGTTCTGGCCGTCGTTAATGGCGCTGTTAATGGAAATCGTCCACATGGAGGCGGCATAGCCGTCACAGTTGCAGTCATCCTCCTCGCCGCCATCGCCCGATGCCCAGACATAGATGTTGCCCAGTCCATTTCGACCCTGCGGGTGGTGCCAAAGATTAGCACTAATGACCGGGTATCGGATTAGAGCTCTATTTCGCAAATGGCATACCTCATTGACGCCCTGGACAATCGCCCTCATGGTGGCATTCCGGGGACCGTCCACCGTCTTGCCATCGTCCGTGGGGCCCCAGGAGGCGCTGTATATGTGGATTTTGTGCGGCTCATGGCCCATGGAGTTGGCCTCGATTAGATCCGTCATATACGGCTGATCCAGCATGCGTATGCCTGTGGCGAATGGCGAATGCGATAAGTATGCATTAATTCTAATGGCGGAAATTATAAATCAATATTTATATGACTCCCCCACCCAGTCCACCCACCACCCACCAGCCACTTTCACTCGCAGCTTTATGGCAATCATAAAAGTTGCAATTCGACGACAGAGACAGGGCCAGGGCCAAAGAGGGCACAGCATTTTCCCCGATTTTTCACATGATTTCTCCCACTTGGGTTATAAAAATGACAGATAACTCGGCCCGATTTATATCCACACTTGTTGCCGCCGCCGCGACCTTGGGGTGCGCCCTCTTCCCCTTGTGACCCAAGTTTATGTGAAATCATTTCTGAAGCTCAATTTTCAATGACGACATGCGATCCATTAACTTTCACCCCAAAAAAAGATTGTATCCGCAGCTGAGGCCGTAAATTGATTTCCCTGCGCTAGCCGAGGATTACGCGGCGTATGCGTAATGCGATTTATCAAGAGAAAAACTTTGCGGGACAGGCACTGACAGAGCATTTGCATTATTAATCCTTTGCCATCTGTGAAAAGCCACTTACCTGCGATTTTGCTGTCATAAGCAACGCCGACACCGCAAATTCCATTATCTCTGGCAGCAGCCACCTCGCCGGCACAACGGGTTCCATGACTGCAAATAGAAGCACAAACAAGGGTTACACATTTGCGTATTTACGTGGAATTTGTAGCGGTTAGAAGCTAAATAAAGCGTATTGAAGGGGGGCGAAAGGAAACCTAGAAAAACGGTCTGCTGTCGGAGTCTGTTGGGTGCTTGATTCCAATTAAACACTTTATTATCTACAATCTGCAAGTGCATCCAATGGATAATAACTCTCTTATGTTCACTTTATTGCTCTCAATTATACTGGCACAACTACTGGCATTCTAGTTTCACTTTCCTGCTGCCGTTTAGGCCAATTAAAGCAGATATTGCAACCCAAGAATGCAATTGAAATCTCTACTGTGGCATTGAGCAAGGGATTGCGTAAATATCTGTCTACATTTCTCCTGGCGTGGCACGAAAATTCAATGGAATTCTGCCTACGTTTATTCATGCTGTCTGGCAAGGGCACTCCAAATCCTTTTTCCACCCACTTACCTGTTGAACCAGTCGTCAGTGTAGCGTGGATAGGGGAAGGGATCATTGCTGCTGAAGTCATAGCTGGCCTCGGCATTCTAAAAGACAAAAAATAAAACATAGAATGAGCATCTCCGTTAACCCAAATGTAATGTAAATTCCGCGTGTCTTTGGTAAGTGCGTTTTGATGTAGCAGCCGATTAAGTCAGTCGTAAAAGGTATTCAAATTATTCCATTTTTCCATTTTGGGTATAGCTTTAAGAGACGACGGATTCAAGTCAGCACAGATCCCTTGAGGGTAAGCACAGTGGAAAGTTTTAATGACCTTATAAAAGTTTCAGCTTTCAGCTTCAATTTTCTGAAAACTTCCCGTGCACATATTAGGGCTTCGGAAAGTCTTTTGTGGGGCTGTTTAAAAGTTGAATTGTTTGCATTACACTGGATTGGGTGACGCAATTATTCTTCCGCAAGCAGTCCTCATGGCCTGCTCGCAGCTCGTTCGAATATTGATTTCCACACCTCTGCAGCTGCAGCTGCAACTGCAGCGACAGCTTCAGCTGAAACTGCCACATGTCTCTAATTGAATTTCTCATCAAACCGAAATTTAATTAAAAACCGAGCGTTTGATGAGCAACGTGAAGCAGCATGAATTTCGCTTTAAAAGTGACCATCTGACCGTGACATCCGCTCTCAAAATGAATGAGCTTTTCAGCTCCGAGAGCGAGAGCAGGGGCGACTGGCCAGAGGCCAGTCATAAATAAACAAAATATTCATGAAACTCTCTGTGTGTGTGTGTGTATGTTGCGTACTCACATAATTAAATTTGAGGTCCGGATGCATATAGTCCACGCCTGCAGAAATGGGATGTAATAAAATTCAGTTTATTTTGAGTTGTAAATTAAATTTTTATATGCCATTCGAGAAGTACGCACCGTCATCCATGATTGCTGTGGTCACATTCTTGCCGGTGATGCCCTGGGCCCAGGCCGCCTGCACATTCAGATCGAGTCGCACCTTGCCCCCGTTCTGGCCGGTGTTCTTCAGGTACCATTGCATGGGGAAGTAGGGGTCCGTGGGCTCCTCCTCGATGCGGTTGGCGTTCGCCTCCCCCTGCTTCAAATCGAATTTCATGCCATGAATGGCAGGCACTGCCGGTCGCAGCCCCCGCTTGACGCGCTTGAATCCGGGTTGTTGCACAGCCGTGTGTACCTGTAGCATCAGAATGGAAATAGTTTTTTTTTTTTTTTGTTAGTTACGTCAACAATCAGCACCTCATTCCGATACACAGCCAAGGCATGGCCATATGGATGATTGCTATGCCTGAATGCCTGTCGAACCTGTAAACTTCTGCTGGCATTCTGGCCAGTAGTTCATTGGAAAGCTCCGAACGACCTAGTTTGCTTGCCAATTTCCATACTGTCCTGTTCGTTCCCTGTTCGCTGTCACGCTCTGTTTGCCCTCGGCATTTTGCATTTTGCATTGTAATTATCGTCGATGGCCTAATGGCACGTTCCACCCAAACAAAACGGACGCACGTCGCATTTCAATGCAAGGCAATCGATGTTCCAACTGCAGTTTGGACGGAAACAGTGAGCGTTCGTGCCATGTCCTGGCTGGACTATTTTGAGAACCACCTTTCTGCAGGAAATGAAGCTTAGCCCTGGCTGAACTCTGGCATTTGCCCGGAACACAATCTTGCCGTTCGACACCTTTTTATGACCCACTACGATGGTGCAACCAACGGACAATAAGTATGTCAAGTGGATTGGCTGTACATAGTCGCACTCTTTTTCATTTTCATGCTCTTGTTTGTTGCAGGAAATCGACTTACCGAGGGATGGCTCTTGAGGGCACGCGTGTGCGTCAAGCTGCGTCTGGAGCGGGCGTGCGGCAGGGTCCGGTGCTTGAAATGATACTCGTGTCCGTCGGCGCCGACCAGCTGTAATGAATCCAGATACGAAATAGCGTTACACTAGACCCCGAGGCATTTTAATTGAGGAAAACACATTAATTCTCAGCTTGTTTTACGCCTAGAAGCGTGACCCTTAATTGCGCTCTAATTGAGTTTAGCCGGAGCTATTCCCTCGCCACTCGATAAGCACACACACATACTCGTACTCGTACTCGCACTCGTATCCTGCGTGGGTACATGCCCATAATTGTGCTCTAAATTGCCAGTCATAATCATGATGCGACGGAGCAGCAGAAGCCCAGCATCAGCAACATCTTCATCATTAGTTGGCTTTGGTAAATTGAGTGCCCGATGCTGACGCTTGGGCAAGCATCGCTCCTCGAGCCAAAGGCAGTGCCAGAGCGAGAGCCCAGTAATTTTCCGTTTTTCCGTAGTACAATTTCAGTGAAAGGAATCTCAAGTTTCAGCACGATACGTGCCTGTGCCTGTGCCTGGCCTTCGACACACACACGCTTTCGCTTGGCCCCAGTAAAAGTCTATATGGTCGAGCCCTTGGGATTCGCTCTCTCTGTGTCTGTGTGCCATGGTTCTGGGGGCCTGTGCTCCGCCTCTGGAACTGTTGCTCTTCTGTGCTGATTGCCATTGGAAACTCAAATGGGTATTGCCCAGCTGCTGGGCGTCGTTTAACTTTGCCCTTTTGTCCGTCGGTTTGTCCTGCATAATTCAGGCTTATACTGAGATTAATTAGCAGCTGTATGGCGCTGAGTGCCATTAATGCCAAACTCGCACAAATTCGCGACAATAAAGCGTTCATTAATGCGCCCAGCGATGACAATACCATCAATTTCCTGGCAACAGTAACTGGAACTAAAACTCTAGCTGGACCTGGTCCCAGTTCCCTGGTCTACTCTTGTGACGCAACTCATTAACCAGGCCAGAACAGAATTTATGCAGATTGGCACTTGAAAGGCTTTTCTTTTGTTGGAACAATTCTGAAGAAAAGAGAAGCATGAGGACTGCTAAGAACACGCGGGTAATTGTCTAAGACCAGCCCCTGAATGATTGACTAACTGACTGACTGAGCGGATGAGTAACTCCACCACAGGATGGACTGCTGTCTGACAGGATTCCATCAACGTGAGCTTATGCAAAAGTGTGCCCACGCAGCTGTTTTAAGGATTCGCGGGACCCGTCCCGTCCGTCTCACCTCGCAGGATTAAATATTAATAAAGCCAGTCGGGATATGCCCGACTGATGAATGCTTTTACATCTCGGGTTTTATAACGCTGACCGATGACCCCGGACCGCTTTCACACGGAATTTTCGTTGTGCTGAAAGGGGGAATGTAATTCTCAGAAAAAACATTAAAAATGTAGCAGAAGAGTAAAATCAACAAGCGGAACAGAACTCCGTTCATTCTGTTTGTCTGTACAAATATTTCTGAAATTGTGCGGAAGAAATGTTACTTTCGTTCAGCAGACGCGCCACCAAGAGGGTAGCAAATCAATAGAAGGACCCACCACGTTTTGGTTTACTTAGGCGACAAGTGCCAACAAACAAGGCCGCGAAGCGAGGCTCGAGGGCCATCAATCCGTTGACTGTTGTCAATCAGAACCCACTGACAGTTTGACAGTCGCGCCACTCTCACCACTCGTGCCGGGAGCCAGCCGCTTTCCTGTTTAATGAGGGCAGTGGAGCGGCCGCGGCTTGCCTATTTTTATGTTCTGTTAATTTGTGCGTAAATTACTGAATGGGTACTGCAACAGCTGCGCGCCCAACATCGAAGTTTAATGGACTTCCCAAGTAACTCATCAACAAAGAGAACAAGAGACAAGGGGATAGAGCAGCGGCCAACGCGAAATGCCCAAGAAAATAGCGCAAACATTGCCCATACGCACAGTGGGTGCTGGGGAACTTTCTGCATACATAAGTGAATTAATCTGAGCGGCGGCGGCAGCGATGGCCACATGCCGATAAATTGCCATCGTATTTTTAGATGGCTGTGGCATAATTTTTGGATTATTCTTCATGAGCACAACATATGGAGCTGCCAACAGATTACAACAGAGAAAAAAACTGTTATCCCGGGCTTTGAGTGGGTCGAGCAAAACAGAAATAATGCGAATAAGAATGGCAGCAAAGTCAGCACAGGCTCAGCGGAGTCTAATGTAGCCATATTGTTGCCATTGTGTCTGCCCGTGTTAGTACCCCCGATGTATTAGTATATATGAGTGTGTGTGTGTGTGTATGTATATGGTTCGCCATTATAAATATAATATGTCGCAATGGGTGATAACGTGGATGGCAGCCAGCAAGAGTGATCCCAGGACAAGCGGCAGTGGCAGAAACTGAACCAGCACCAGCAACAGACACTGCGTGGCAAGTGGCAGCTGTTCTTTTTGTGTTCCCCACCAAACGTTGGCTTCTGTCTGCTTGTGTGAATTATTTAAGCTCAATGTCGCCCACACGCATTTAGCAAAAAGTTTGCCCAACGGGACGACGCCATTTTCCCCACACTTTCGGTGCTGCCAAAATGGTGTCTATAATTAGTTGCTTGCCGCATTTAAATAGCAAATTTTATTAATGATCATCAGGCAGCGTGAAGAAGCCGTTGGCAGCGACGACACTTGTTGATTGGAGCACTACACACGTACACACACACACACACACAAGCAAACGCTATCGCAGACTTGACGTTCATTTGCATGCCAAGAAAGTGCCAGCCAGCTGTTGGTCGTGTAGTTACATCACAGGAACATGCTCTCTCCTCAGCGTTGTGTGGGTGCTCACTGGATACATCTCAGGCCGGCCACCGCTGTGACACGTCATCTTTCATCTCCTGTCAGCAGCAGAAATTTATGGATTCCCACTCGGGAACGGTTCGGGTCGGTCGAGCTCGTCGCGAAAATTCACGGAAGGTGAATGAATGATTGAAAAAATGTGGCACAATGCACCGAACGCAAAAACATCAGCGACGGCAGCTACGCTGGTACATGACACTGACAGGCTCCAATAGTTGGATGGCCCTGGGTCCTTATATAGACGGATATATTTATACATCCGATGGGAGTACGAGTTTATTTCAGTGGGTGCACGCGACATAACAATGGTTTGGCCATTGTGATTGTGCGCCCAAGGGCTCTGGGCTTGTGCACACAATAAGGGCTTAAACTCGTTCAAATCTGTCCCTCTATTGTATACCTTAATCGAATTCTTATTGGGCTGCCATTCAACAAGTTAAAAGGAAACAAAACTGGCCTTTTCTTCTTGCCGGAGGAGGAGAGGAGAGGAATACCCAGAAATAGCCATAAATTCCTAAGCTTCCACCATAATAGAAAGAGTCTCAAAATATCTTCAAGGAAATAGCGGATTTTAAGGGAATTAAGCGAATTCACATTCACCCACACAAGAAAATCCTATGACCTCTATTGGCATATTTTATGTGGAAATGTTCAATCCAAAAATAAATATCTTGCGTGCATTTGAAGTATTAAATTTGCACTTCCACATGGATGCCATATAGCAAAAACAATCTTCTTAGAAATATGAAAATTGTGCAGTCTACATATGCGCATTCAATGGCAGGACACACACACGCACATCAGCCCGGAGAAGCCTTTTGCATGCTCTCAAAGGCAAGCTAAAAGGAATTTTCAATCACAATATTACATGTCTAATTTGAATTCCAGCATACATTTTCAGGAAATCAATCAGGCAATCAGTTGTGAACTCTTTTCTCTGAAAAGTAGGCTACCATTTATTTCCATAAAAAGTTCAATAAAAGCATATTACACAATGCGTTGCGTACTCGTACTCGTATTTATACTCACATCCAATATTGAACATCAAAAAGGGAAAACCATTCATCAATTTCTGCCCCAGTGGTTCGACGTCAGCGGCATGAGCATGAGCAGCAGTTTATCTAGGGCTGCTGGCTGGCCTGGCTGTGTGGCAGTCACTTTATCAGTAGCTGGTGAACTTTTTCTGGTGGCATTAGCCGCCAATAACTCCTGCCATACACATAATATAGATACGCGCTCCGTTACAATGTGATAAATGTGTACTTGTATCTGGACTCCCGGACCTCATTGCCATGCCGCTAATTAAGAAAAATCGTCCGCTGGCCGATACCGCTACCCGCCCCTCTCCCGCATCGAATGCAATTTATCAATCAATCAATAAGCAAATAAATTGCTGCAGGCTTTATAGTGTTTGCATAAATTATCACCACAGACGAGTCGATTTGTTGAGTTTGTTGAAATAAAATGAAAATAAAAATCAAATCAGTAGCTTAGCGGGTATAGGGAAAAACCTGCCTGGAAAATGCCTTCAAGGGCTCGCCACTTGACAGTTCCTATTGTGTCAGACTTTCATTCAAAACAGCGTCTGTCTGTGTCGGTTTTTGAAAAACAATGGAAATAAATAAATACGCGAGAACCAAGCAAATCCAAGGCATCAATAAATGGCATGCAAATTTGTGTAGCCTCGGAATTAGACGACTGCCTCGAATGAGAGAAATGCAAATGAGTGCTGGGCCAAGAGGTAGGGAACTGCTGAATAATTCAACAGAATGCGCCTCAGAGGCCAGGACAATGGCAGTGAAAGGAATGGCACCAAAGACAAACAGCTGTGCGAAACCGAACTAATAAGCTCTGATTGAGGCTTTTGGCATGTGCCGCTCGTTGTGGCATCTGATTTGTTGGCTCCGAAGACTGGCTGACAGAAGCCACGAAAGTTAGTTAGCTGCCTGCCAACCTGGGTTGTCACGGCGCACAATGGGAAAAGTTGCGCAAAAGTTTCCCCTATCTGGAGTTTGCTCAACTGAAAATTGAATTAGAAATAATAATGTCAGGGGAGAGAGCGGCTGCATTTCCATCCAAGGATCCAACCAGAAAGCTGGTACCTTTTGTATTAAATTTTCCAGCAAGTAAAAGCTTACGACTGCAGCTAGAAAAACTTATATTATCCGTAATTAAAAAGCGTTTAGACAGCCCCCGGGCAGCAATTTGCAACTGGGTCAACTGAAA